ACTGATTATTGTATTTTTTGGTGGTAAAAATTGTCATCTCTCACTTCAATTTCACCCTTTATTAATCACTCTTCAAAATTCCATAGAACCAGAAACTCTTGCAACATGAAAATTTTGCAAGTTTTCCAAAATAGCAATTTTTAAAGCAAGACATTTATGTGAATGCAGCCCCCCAAAAGTGTGTCAGTTGTGATTAATTATTTTATACATAAAACATTCATGAATCTTAAAATAGCCACTGGTGACATTTGTAAATATTTCATGCCACAAAAGCTTCTGGTTTTAGAGCAGTATATGGTGACTGCTTATTTATGAAGTATGTAACTGTCATCTTGTTCATAGTACTAAATTACACCTACCCGTATGCATTTTGGTAGTGAGTGCCACTCATGTTATTTGGGGTCAGTTTAATTATATTGAAGATTGAAAATGGTTTATATTTCACCATTGAATAAACAATCTTATGTGACTAATCAGTACCAAAAATAGATAATGATCAATCTTATATCATTGCCAAGCCGATTGAGAATTCATATTTTTCCATCTTAGGTTTTTATTTGTTATCTTTTCTTGTTTTACTTACTTCCTCTTCCAACTACTTATTTCTCCTCTCTCTTTTGTCAATTCTAACATACTGTCCTTAATCTAAATCTAGATTTTTTTTCTCTCTCTCTATCTTCTACCTCTCTCTACGTATGTTAAATCTATCCTATATCCCTTCCCCCTCTTTCTCTCTTTATCTCCACCCCCCCCCCTCTCTCTCTCTCCCTCTCCCTCTCTTTCTCACCCTCCTCTCTCTATCTCCCCTTCACTTCTGCCATCCCCTTATTCTCATTCAGAATCTCAAACATACAACCTTTATTCCTCTTTCAGACAACTCTTTCTTCCTCTATAATTGAACATTCTACGTCACTCTTTCACTCATTCTGTTTATTCCTCTCACTATCCACGAAGCATTGAATATTTTAAATCATGCAGGCACAGTAGTATACAATTACATTCATTAGACACAAGAAAATCATGGAAACTGTCAAATTGATTTTTATTTTATTTTATTAGAAAGAAAAAGAATTCAATATCATTTTTATCATGAAATAAATTGAATTAATGTTACATGTTATCAAGAACAAAATTAATATTACAACCTTTGTTCTTTATCATTTCAAAATAATTACTGGAGTATTTACTTTTTTCAATTAGGAAGAATTTGAAATCATTTTTAGAAAAGGATTTCACAAAAATACCCTGAAAGATTTTAGATTGAACATTCTCCCCTGCTTTATCAACTTCTCTGCATTTTTTAATGAAAATGAAATAAAAGACTTTTTTTTAGTTGTTTTCATCTGTAGGTTGGATTTATGTACTAGCATATGGATTAAGGGTCAAGTTGAGGCAATGCATTGACTACCTATTCAAAGGAAGATTAGCATGATATATCAGGCAACACACTAGAAATAAAGAGTAAGAATAGCACTGCTAATCATAATATAAAGTGGAGCCAATCAGTAGAGAAAAAAAAATCAAAGATGGATGATTATAAAAGTAGGGCATGAAACCAGAAATATAACCTCAAGTAAAAAATTGCATATTATTACTGTCATTATTGATAATAAATAGTACTAACGCCCCTTAATCTAGACGCTGGTTGTGTTTTCTAAAAGAAGGAAAATAGTATGAAAGGCATTAGGATCATGTTCACACATCCATTCTACATATTCCTGTGAGCAACATTTTACTATAAGGTAAATATGGCATCATTTGAAGAATTAAAAACAAATATATAAATAAAGAGAATTTGATGATGAAGTTGTTGTTGATTCGCCGCATTTAGGAAGGGCCGTATTTCTGTTCTTTAATAAAAATTCAATGTGCAGAGAATTCAAACAAAACAGCCTAATTTCTACCAGTATTATTCCCCCAAAAGCCAACAACGGTAATGATCTGTCACGCAATACTGAAGATTTTTCTTTTAAAATCAATAACATTACAGAATGACAAAGACTGGGTAATTAAACTCAAGTGATGATAGACTTGCCCATAATATGGAGAGACTGACAAATATCAGGCGTTCTCAGGCATATCAAAATGGGAGCATATTGATCTAGAAATTCACCTGGACAAAACAATAGTGGACTGACGACAAAGGAAACTGCAAAACAAGAATGGGATATGAAGGACAAACTCAAACAAATATCACGGACGAGGGGGTGGGAGATATGAAAATAAAGAGAAAATACTGACGACGGTGAATAATTGATATGCAGTCAACCACAGTTAACCCATCAAGGCATTCTCATCAATGAAATGACTCATTATCACAAACAATGGACGAGTAACTATCTAGGTTCTCTCAAAGTATCCAACTTTTTCTGAGGAGAAGGAAAAAATGCACCATTTCATCATTGGTGATTGGCATGTGAAATAGACCAGAATGACAGAAACGATAGACACATCTACAAAATATTAAAACTACTTCTCTTTTCAGATTTATATTTCTCCTTTTCCATATCAGATTAAGCAACTAGACATAGAAACTGATCTAAAATACTAGGGAATAAATCATTCATTGTGTGAAAGAAAGTGACGTCCTTGTCGGAAAGTTGTTTCAATTTTCAATTGGCAAATGAAATAATTGTGTAAATGTAATAACAACCAATGCTTTTTTTAAAGATATATTCCACTCAGTCTCTGCTTTCTTGGTTATTTCACCGAGATAAATTTTGAGTCATACCTTTTAATGTGTGATATGGTACCTTTAATACTACATACATGTCTAATATACTATAACTGTAACATAAGCAATACACACGGATATTCCTGTTTACACAGACACCTAAATACAAAATGACTCAGAGTTTTCTTTTTTGTAAAGAAAAAATAAATGACTGGACTGGCTTCTAAATATGTGCTGGTACGTGTACAGTCAGGTTTCTTGTGTGATACTACATTAAAATAATCAGTTTGGATAATAATTGCAAACTCATACTTATTGCAACTATGGAATAAAGCTTTTAAGAACTTCAAATATGAAGACAAGTCACCATATTGACAATGGAAATTTAAATGACTTGCTAGCTTGAAAATACACCCAAGTGACGCAAATGGAGTGAGATTATGAAGCATTAGGATGGCAACAAGATGGATTTCTGTTAAATATGTTGCTGTGAGAATATTTATTTCTGTATTATCCCCTCTCTATTCCTAGCCAAGAGAGTAAAATATGATTCTATTAAATGTCATCTGTATAAATAGAAATAGATCCGATTCCTCTACAAATCCACTTCTCCAATATTTGGTGAAGGTGGGTAAGAATAAAACATATCCTTGCCGAAAGTTTGTTCTTACTTCCATTTTAAAAAGCCCATATTTAGTTTACTAATAAAAATCATTATTACTATCTCATACAAGTACAAGCATAAGTATTCAATAACGAATTTAATAGAAAATGTTCTACTCACTTATCTTAATGCATTTTCTTTAATCAGCCATCTTTACAAAACTCTCTCTTTTGTTTTACGCTGCTGAAAAACTTGAAATCTTAAAGTGTACCAATCACCCAAAAAGATAATTTGTGTTCTGCTAGAATGCATTAAATCATCCTCAAAATCTTCTTCCTGTATTCTAATGGCTAATGGAAAAGATTAAGAAAAAGATTAAACTGGAAAATAACATAAAACACAGAACCAATGTTGGATTTGAATAATGTGTAGGCCAATGTTTGTGAATGCTTACGGGAGAATAGAGTAGTCCAGTAACAAGTTATTTTAAATTGTATTGAGGTGTATGTAAACTTGCAATATCTCTTTATAGAATTAATATTTGGGGCTATATAGCAACATGAAATACTGATTCAAAAAAACAAAAATACTTTTTTTGTGATTGATACACTTTGATAAAAACTAATCTTTTTCAATATACATATATTCAAGTTAACCAAATCAATGTCAGGGTTTCGAAATCTACTGAATTTGTCTTACTGAAAAGAAAATAGGGTAGATGATTATTTAAGTTTCATTGACCTTGAAATAGATATGGTACAAATAGTATTGGTAGTATGAGGAGAAGTCTGGGTAGTGGTAGATATAAGGTAGTATCAAAAGTAGTAGTAGTAATAGAAGAAGTAGAAGTAATAAAAGTAGTAGTCGTCTTCATAGTAGTAGTAGTCATCATTATAGTAGTAGTAGCAGTAGTAACAGCAGCAGTAGTAGTAGAAGTAGTAGTAGTAGTAGTAGTAGTAGTAGTAGTAGTAGTATATTTATTGTAGCAGTAGTAGTACTAGTAGTACCGGTAGTAGTAATCGTAATAGTAGTAGTGGCAGCAGTAGCAGTAGTAGTAGTAGTAGTAGCAACAGCATAATAGTAGTAGTAGTAGTAGTAGTAGTAGTAGTAGTAGTAGTAGTAGTAGTACAGTGATTGTTGTAGTAGTAATAGTAATAGTAATAGTAGCAGCAGTAGTAGTTGTAATAGTAGTTTTTGTAGTAATAGTAGTTTTTGTAGTAGTAGTAGTAGTAGTACAGTGATTGTTGTAGTAGTAATAGTAATAGTAATAGTAGCAGCAATAGCAGCATAAATAGTGTTACTAGTAGTAGACGTAGTTGTATAATTAGTAGTAGTAGCAGTAGAAGTAGTAGTTGTACTAGTAGTAGTAGTAGTAGTAGTAGTAGTAGTAGTAGCAGTAGTAGTAGTAGTAGTAGTAGTAGTAGTAGTAGTAGTGGCAAAAGTAATAGTTGTTGTAGCAATGTACCACACTGTACTGCCAACATCAGAGAGTGAAATGAACAGTTGAAGTGGAGTTCACTTTATGCAGTGTACATTGTACATATTATTGCTGCAATAAGTGTATACCAATAGAGAAGTTTTCAAGTTACTAAAAAGACATCAGAAAGTCAAGTTACTTAGAAGACAATGATAACAGAAGTTTAGGCTCATTTCATGATTTTCTACTTTCTTCTAGTTTTTTTTTGCTCAGTTTTCTTTTTCAGGAGTGGTCCACGATGAAACAAAGCCAGTGTCAACATCATCACCAGACAGTATTAGAGAACGATCCAATCACGTCCAATGCTGTCCAGTATGATGTCACCACTAGGCTCAACAAATCGCAAACACGAGATGGCGCCCTCGCTTGGTGCTCTGTTGATCAATCCTATTAACCAGCCAAGCCCTCTCCCTGCATCAAACCTTGAAGGAGGATGATGACGAAGGGAGTGGAAGCAAGAGAGAGGGCGACAGACTGGTGTTCTAGGATTGCGTCGACAGTGGGTCTTGGAGAAACTCCTTCCGAAGATTGCAGCTATTTAGCGATTCAGCGTGAGTTAGGTAGAGGCAGGTAGGCAGAGCTGGAGGCAGCTAGAGATCATAGTCAGACCATGGAGTTGAGATCCATGGTTTGACTATATTCATGATTAGAGTCTGTCTATTTTCATGTCTAGAGAGTTTGCTGCATGGTGGTTGTTATTTTTAAAGCAAGTTGATCACAAAGACTAAAGAATCAGAAAAGCATTATCGTAGCTAGGTTAAAACCTTTGTTTACAGCTTAACGTAGAAGAAATCCATTAATTATGGCAGAATCATTATGTTTTTCCAACATAAATATACTATCGTATTTTTAAAATATGGTATCAAATGGTGTGACTAGACACAAGTGTCTCCACCAACCATAAAAAGGATGTCTTTGAAATATCTTCATGACTTTTATTCATGTCTGATTTTTAACAGGTCTGATACAAAAAAAAAATAGAGATAACTCTCAATAAATTAGGAGTTTCTAGAAGTCAGACTTCAATGCAAAATACTAAATACGAGTTTTTTAAATATTAAAAATTCACTATTCAAAGCCAATTTTGATAAAAAATCTGTTTTTAAGATTTTAGAATGTGAAAGAAAAACATTCATGAATATTCCTTTTTTGAAATAGCAAAAAAATTCACATAAAATGTGGTTAGGAAAAATGAAATTAAAAAAATGAGAAAGACAGAAAGCATAGAGAATAAAAAGACAATCTAGGAAAAAGATTTTTTTTTTCAAAATTAAGCAGCAAACTCTCTAGTCACTACACAAATTCTAGCAGACTATTCTAAAAAGATAAAATATGAAGTAGAGATACTTCAAAGCACTCTGCAAGTCTTGATAAAGACTATAGCAGGCTGTATTTGATCAATATTTTTATTTTTGGAAAGCGCTTTTTTCATACCTCTGCTCTGCCGCGTATTTCGCTCAAGTGGTTGAACTGAGTCTGCCATCCATCATAGTCCTGGAGCTCATGCTTTCCCTCATACTCCTAGATGATGTCCACGATGGTGATGATGACGACAATGATGATGATGATGACGGTGACAATCGTCCTGTTGTCCTTGCTGCTTCCCTATTGATAGTCTTGATGTGTTTCCTCTTGTCCTAAGTTGAAGAGTAACTAAACTGTACTTGCCCTAACATAATTCTACAATCAAGTAACATATATTATTTGGGTATTCTCATCTAGAAATGTTTCTTCACAGTTTTGTGGAAGAAAAAACCAGACAGGAGATCTAAGAATAACACAACATTTTCATTACCTTTGATGGAGTATAGATCTTTACCAAAGGGGACAAAATGAAAAATAATTAAATTAATAATTAAATGTGATGATTATAAGCAGAACATCTTCTTTTATCAAATTATTATTACCATGCTGATGTATTGTTCGGAAAACTATTTTAATTCCTGTAAAACTGTGAAAAAACACCCTCCAGGATGCATAGTTCCAATGTCCTTAAACACAAAGAATTGATAGAACACTGTTTGGAGTTCGATCATACGAAGCATCACACGATGCTGGAACATTTCTGCCTTTATATGACTGTGCTGAAATATATAGCTTGTTCCACTGCTAACGAAATGAAAGTAAAATATGGTTTTCACCAAACTCAGGCATTCCAACATTTGAGGAAATCAAGGAAATGGCATCAAACCACAAGTTAGTGTCAATCTGAAGCACGTACACACATAAGAAAAACGTGTCATGAGGCAAATATTGGCAAGAAAAAAAAAGAGTACTTTAATTTTACATAAATCTAAATATAGAAAATGAATGAGGAGAAAATTCCAATTAATGCCGCCCATCTGGTTGTCTAGAGCAGCTGTATAGCAGTCCACTGAAATATAAATTGTCCATGAAAGAGAAATCCTACCAGTACCGGAGATACACGTACTATACAATCCAGAAAGCTAATTGAAATCAGTATTCAAATGAAAGAGATTCACAAGCGCTGGAGAAAATGTGCCCTTCACACCTCATTAAAGTATTTGAATTGCTGATCAAACCGAACCAAATCATACAGGTATAGTCAGTAGAAATGAATGGTTTGTGTCCAGACTGTATTCCACCATATACTAAATCCATTCCAACAAGTAGGTCTATACGTGTGTGTATGCTGTAAGCGCCAAACGGAAATCCACCGATTAAAACAGAAGTGAAGCGAATGAAATGCGCAAGAAACATGGAGCACTGCTGCAGCAGCGCAAGAGATCCCCGTCTGCACACCATGCCAGTCAGGCTGCAATTGCCGCCCTCTTCATGCCTTGCTGCTCAGGGGTGCCAGCCAGCCGTTTGGCGGCCGGCTACATATAGCAATGACTTCACTTTACTTGCATTTTGCACTGCCCACTGAATTCTGTTTTCTCTTTCCATTTCTATGCCGGCCGGGCAGGATATAAGCTTACCACAAACCTAGCTAACACAGGGACTCCTCCCACACAAAACAATGACTCTGCAAGAAGGGTCGCCCGCCGCAAAACAGGGAAATGGACTATGTCACACAAAATATGTAATTATTGGCTTACACAATATCACAAAACAAATTCCTACCCATAAACTTTATCTAGAAAGAAGAAAAAGGCAGTTTTGTAAAGAATTTTCAAAGTTAATAGCACATGGCGTGACGTGGAGTTACCGCCTTTTATACTATAGAGTCACGTTCAGTGTGGCATTGAAATACTTCCTGAGTAAACATATAGTGATCAGAGTTCCGTGTTCAGTTCTATGAATGGAAAAAGCACATAATATCTATTATCTTAGTTTCATGTTGTTTGATTATCATTTTCAGAACGCTACCTCGCCGGATGTGAACAGTTTTAATTTCCTTCCACTTTAATAGTCAATATCAGTAATCTTCTTTGTGATTAATCGATAGGATTGCTTGGAATCTGACTGTTTGACTGGGGATTAAAATATTTGAGGGAGAGAGCAACAGAGAGAGAGAGAGAGAGAGAGAAGAAGAAAAAAAGAGAGGGGTAAGGGAGAGGGAGAGGGAGAGAGAGAGAGAGAGAGAAAGAAAAAAAGAGAGAGAGAAACAGAAAGAGAGGGTAAGGGAGAAGGGAGTAGAGAGGGGTGAGGGAGAGGGGTGAGGGAGAGGGGAATAGAGGAGGAGAGAAAGAGAGAGAAAGAGAGAGAAAGAGAGGGGAGAGAAAGAGAGAGGAATAGAGGGGGAGAGAAAGTGAGAGGAAGAGAGAGAGAGAGAGAGAATGAATGGTGGAACCACAACAATGACTGTGATACACATCATATAATGGCCTAATATACTTTAAAGCTGGTCTACTTTCGATTTCAGGAAAAGTCGGTGGCAGCTGCAGTAGCCAGGAAAGGAAGGAAAGGAAGAACCGGCTCAGATAGATAGAAATGTGGTAGTGAGGGGAAAGGGGGAAGGATTCCCCATTTTTAATTCTATACTGGTTCAAGTTAACAAGAGAGAGAAAGTGAAAGAGATTGAGGGAGAGAGAGAGGGGGGAGAAAGTAAAAGAGAGAGAGGGAGAGAGAGGGGGGGGAGAAAGTAAAAGAGAGAGAGGGAGAGAGAGGGGGGAGAAAGTAAAAGAGAGAGAGGGAGAGAGAAACACATTAATTAAGGGCAAGGGCAAAAAAGGGAATGAAAAAAAAGTGATACAGATATTAAAGAGCCGGTTCTCATCATTCAGTAAAGAGAATGAAAGAAGGGGTGGCTTATCACCTTGATAGTCCAGATGAAATGTCTCACTCACACCAACATGCAAGTTCAGAAAACTGCTGTACAACACAAGAAAGACCAATTCACGTTGCATGCTGATTTTGAGCCTTAAATAAAAAATATGTGGTGTGAAATAGTGCTGCCAAGCTAGTTATACTATAACAGGATATGCCACATTCACGATGAAATATTAGTACTGACAGGATGAACCCAGAGAGACCTTTTCATACTACAATGCTATTCCAAGTCTATTGACCATGGGGGAGTGGGAGTAACATCATTCATATATATATATTTACTTAAAAAACATACAGAGGGGGTAGGCGGGAGAAAGCCCATTCTTAATCACTCGTTGGCTCCACGAAAGAGAGCAAGAACGTGCACAAAATGGAGCCATCTGTTAAGCTAACTTTGTGCCACACCTGTTTCTTAACAGTACAGTGCTTCCCTCCAACGTATGACTATGTCACTTTACCAGACATGGCTTTCGTTTTCGTTCTTACAAATCTTCTGCAAATTCATTCAAGTCCCTGCCTTGTACAAACAGTGTATGCTTGTTGAATATTAAAAGGAATTGCATTTTATTCTCATTAGCATTTATTGAAGGTGATTGTGAATTGACAGGGTTAAAAGTCTTTTTGAAAAGTGTGTGTAATATGTTGGGTTATGGACAGCAACATGAACAAAAAGAAAACCATCAAATATCAACAAAATATCAAATGGAATATTCCTTTTAACAAGAAAAGAACCTTGTAGATTTAGCATGGCCTTTTCTACTGGTACAGTCGGTGCATATTTATTTAATTTCAAAACCTTTTTAAAACCTAATTCTTCCTTTTGAAAATAATGTCAAACCTGATTTAAAAACATCATGTATCTTATACTACTGTTAGCTTTAAAGTTTGAATACAAGCACTTTTCATACATTTGTCAAAACATGGACCTACTACATAGTCAAAAGCAGTTTAGTAAGTAGTCTTCATATATATATATATGTTATTATTTACAGTAAGGGAAGAAGACAAATACCAGACAAGTCTTTGGTCCCTTAGGACTTCAATTTGTAGATCCTAACTAGATCATGCAATCATAAATATAACCTGATTT